CATCCAATGTTGACTGTCGTGGTGGGGAGGAGAGTTGTGGTGGTGGCAGCTGGGCCAAGGACAATGAGGAGAGGACATGGGCAATGGGGGCAAGCAGCAGTGGGTGGCACTTGGACCCCGGGGGACGATGGTGGCTGTGACATTTACGGCAGCAGGAGAGTGCTTCTGGTGGCCACCAAGGCCACACCCTCTAGCCCGGGAGTGATGCCTGGGCCCAAGTGTGGCACTGACGGAGTCAAGAGATGGTCCAGCTGGGCCAGAAATGTCTGCGGGACCAAGGCCCAAGCCCAACACTATTAGATTTGATGACAGCGCTGGCAGTGAGAACACTGGTGATGGCGACGGGATGGTGGCGATGAGAGCACCAGAGGCGAGGCTGAGGCGGACTGCATTGGTAGAGCGGACACCAGAGCCTGAGGGCCCACAGGACCTGAAATCAATAGAGGCATTAGGACCTTGGGGGTTCTAGGCTCTAGCCCCCTAAGGTGGCAAAGGGGCTTCCCTTAACCCCAGAGAAGAGGCCGGGGGACTGGAGTGGTTACGGGGTGTGTCAGTAAGGGATGTATGAATGTTGGATGAATGTGCTACCCTCTTCCCAGATGTGAGGCAGGAAGAGGGTAGGAGTAGATGTGGCCCTCTTCTTAGAAGCCACTGACAGAGGCCGGTTGAGAGAGGGACCATTTTTCGGAAGGAGGAGTGGGGGTGACTGAGCCCCTGTTGGCACTGAGAGCAGATAGCTGAAGTGCCACAGAGCCTCTTCTCCCCCCATATTCCCCTCTTGGCCTGTATCATTTATGGTATGGTAGTTCCCTTAGGTCAGAGGCCTAGATGGTGGGTGGGGGCAATTCAGGGTGGGTATTTATGTTGTGATGCAGATGGGACGTTATGACAGGACCCAGGGGGCAGGCTGTTCCAAGGGAAGATGCCCCCGATGTGTTATATTGATGGTGTGTTCCAGCCCTCTGGGCTCAAGCCCAGGCCCCGGTCAGCAGACCTATAGAGGCCCAGGCTTTTGGCTGCTGCTGCTGAATGCCAGGTTGGTCAATAATAAGGTCCCCACTTATTCATGACTTTATTGGGGAGGAGCAGGCCAACCTGGCATACATTACTGAGACCTGGCTGACACCAGAAGGGAGTGTTGCCTTTTCAGAATTGTGTCCAGCTGGGTTTAGGGTTTGGCACCAACTGAGACCCCAGGACAGGGGAGGAGGTGTGGCAGTGGTCATCTGGGAATCTCTGCTGGCCTTCAGGGCTCTGCTCCACAAGTAGCTGGATGTGAGACCCTGTTCCTGAGGTTGGGCACATGGGATCAGTTGGGAGTTTTGCTTTTGTACCAGCCTCCCTGCTGCATAGTAACCTCCCTGCCTGAGCTGCTGGAGGCCATCTTGGAGTTGGCAGTGGAGTTCCCCAGGCTTATGGTGTTGGGGGACTTTAATCTGCCATCCCTGGTGTTGGGCTTGGAGGTGGCTCAGGAGTTCATGGCTACCATGGCAGCCATGGGCCTATCCCAGGTCATTTCTGGCCTGACCTGGGACAGTGGTCACACTCCAGACATGGTTTTCTTGTTGGAGCAGTGGCAGCGTGATCTCACTGGGGGATTTGATATTATCCCCTTTGTCATGGTCAGACCACTCCCTGATGCCAATGAGATTCTCTTATGCTACCCCCCTCCACATGGAGGCGGGACCTATTCAAACAGTCCAACCCCAGTGACTGATGGACTGCAAATGTTTCAAAGGGAGCTGGAGGTTGTTCCTGAGGCCTTCCTGCGTGGTCCAATGACAAGGCAGCTGGGGCCTTTGACAAGATCACGCCTGTGTGGCCTCTCTTGGCCCATCACCCCTGGCATTCCCCATGGTTTACGGAGGAGTTAAGGGAGCTGAAAAGGGCCAAGAGACACCTTGAGCACTGCTGGAGGAAAACTAAAGATGAGTCTGACCGTAAATGGGTTAGAGCCACTATTAAGGCCTACTTAGTGGTGGTAAGGGTGGTGAAACATCATTATTTCTGCATTCTTATTGCATCTGCAGAGTGTTACCTGGCAGCCCTGCTCAGGGTCACTCGGTCCCTCCTGGGTAGAGAGGGCTTGGAGGACAATCTACAGGGCCATTCACAGGAATTTGCTGAACACCTGATGGATAGAATCTCTCAGATCCATTCTCAGTTGGAGGCCAAGTGTGAGGCGGGTCCAGTGGAGATGCCTGGGGAGATACCCAGGTATCTGGGAACGGTTTGATCCTGTTGGCCCTGAAGAAGTGGACAAGGTCCTTGGGGCTGTTAGCGCAGCTATCTGTATTTTAGATCCCTGTCCCTCCTGGTTGGTTAAAGCCACCAAGGAGGTGACTTTAGGGTGTGTACTGGAAGTGGTCAATTCATCCTTGCAGGAGGGGGTGTTCCCGAAGCCTTTTACGGAGGCTTTGATCCACCCCCTCCTCAAGAAACCATCACGAGATCCCACCCTTCTGGACAATTTTCATCCAGTTTCCCACCTTCTCTTTTTAGGAAAGGTGGTAGAAAAGGTAGCCGTACAGCAGCTTCATAGGATCCTGGAGGAAACAGATTATCTGGACCCCTATCAGTCAGGTTTCAGGCCTGGTTATGGGACAGAAACCGCATTGGTTGCACTTTTAGATGGTCTCTGGTGAGAGCAGGATGGGGGTAGTGCATCCATCCTTACTCTTCTTGACCTCTTGGTGGCTTTCGATACCATCCACCATGGTATCCTTTTCCATCAGCTGCAGACGCTGGGGCCGGATGGCACAGTTGTGTGCTGGTTCAGCTCCTTTCTCCAAGGCCGAACCCAATTGGTGTTGGTAGGGAGCGAGATGTCCAACCCACGGCCCCTACTTTGTGGGGTGCATCAGGGTTCATTGGTCTCACTGCTCCTATTTAACATCTACATGAAACCATTGGGTGAGATCATCCAGCACCATGGGATGAGGTATCATCAACATGCTGAGGATACTCAACTATATACTGTATCTCCATCCCAGGTAACCTAAGTGATACTGTGGCTACCCTTTCAAAGTGCCTGGAGGTTGTAGGGGCCTGGATGGGGGACAACAGGCTTCAAATGAACCCTGGTAAGACAGAGTGGCTGTGGATATGGGGAGCCTCAAGATCTAGGAGTTTATCATCTTTGGTACTGGATGGGGTCACACTACCCCAGACAGACCCAGTGTATAATCTGGGGGTCCTTCTTGACTCATGACTCCTGTTCAAACAGCAGGTGGCAGTTGTGGCTAGGAGACCCTCTGTGCAACTTCGTGTTGTGCATCAGCTACGCCCCTTCCTGGATCGGGAGGCTCTCCACATGGGTCAGTCATGCCCTGGTCACCTCTTGGTTGGATTACTGCAATGCACTCTACATGGAGCTATCCTTGAAGAGTATCCAGAAGGTCAGAATGCAGTGGCATGGACAGTTCTGAATGCCCCCAGGCAGCCCATATAACACCTCTGTTATGTGAGCTGCATTGGTTGCCAGTTTGCTTCCGGGTCCAATTCAAGGTGTTGGTCATCACCTTTAAAGCTCTTCATGGCACAGGACCAAGTTATCTGAGAAGCCGTCTCGCCCCTGTTATATCAGCCTGCACCACTCAGTCCAGCAGAAGGGGCATGTTGCGGACCCCACAAGTCAAGGAATTTTGGCTAGTGGGGTCTAAGAAGAGGGCCTTTTCTGCCATGGCCCCCGCTCTGTGGAACAACTTACCTCCCGAGGTGCAGTGTGCCCCCACTCTCATGGCCTTCAGGAAGAGCATGGAATCTTGGCTACGCCAGGTGGCTGGGGGGCCAGATGAGGGCTCACACCAGTGGAAGTGGCTTGTGGCCCCATCATCTTGAATGTTTTTAATGTTTTTAGTCTTTTTATGTATTGGATTTTTTTTAATACAATCTGATTTTTTTAACTAATTGGTGTGGGTATTTATTTATTTTATTGCTTTTGGGTTTTACTCTAACTGTGAGCCATCCAGAGTCACCCTCTGGGGGAGATGGGCACCATACAAATTTAATAAATAGAAAGGAAAGGAAAGGAAAGGAAAGGAAAGGAAAGGAAAGGAAAGGAAAGGAAAGGAAAGGAAAGGAAAGGAAA